TTCTAACCGAGATCATATGCCGACATCAGGTCCCTCTGCCACCCGCTCTGCCCCCCGCGAAGCGGGGGTTAGCAATCTAGTTCAAATTAAGCAAAAAAAAAAATATACTTCTACAAACAGTAGGAAGCAACAAAGAAAAACTATATAAGAATTTAATGACACGAAATTAAAAACTTACTTAAGTTTCATCCAAATTTTTATCAACCCAATTAGGCATAGACTTGACCGGTGATAATGGCGATTTTTTTATGGGTTTGGTTCGCCGTTGCCGACACTCGACGCAAAGGAAGAAGAAGAAGTCTTTCGTGATTTTTTTTCTTTTCCCGCTCACAGTAAGCACGACATAGAGGAAGAAGATGAAATTCTTTTTTTGTTTATCGTATGACTAGGTGTGACCGATTTTTTTTTGAAAAGGATCAAGATAAAATTTAGAAAGATTAGAAAAAAAATTACATGAATAATGTCTATTCAAATTTCCATTCCTGTTCCGGTTGTTGAACTGGGTTAAAAACGGTCTAGTTCCCGCACCGGTTTCGGGTCGCCAACGTGATGAGATTAGACGATTATATATTAAACTTGGATCAAACCAACTTCAAAACTCAAAGTATCCTTTCAGTCCTAGTGGCCATGACGGTTCTATATGCAGTTTTCAACAAGCTTCGTTCAAGCCCCTCGTAACTTAAAATTTTGGCTCCTCCCGTGCGCACATGTGTATATAAGAAAGAGAGAAGGAGTGGGTGTGGTGGAATTGAACTTTGAGGGACCAAAAATGTAGGGCTTATATAGGGGCGATGTTCACCACGGTTCATGCGGGATCATCGAACTCACACCCCATAGACTTACCATTTGGATACATATATTTGTAATTTTTGGATGTCCTTTTTCGTTTTTGTAGCGAATTGAAATTTCTAGGGATGAGCAAAAGGACCGAACCGGTCGGAACCGGACCCGACCCGGGAACCGGCTTCGGCCAAAATCAAGAACCGAATCGGCCTGGCGGTTCTACCGGTTCTCGGTTCCTACCGGTTCTTGTCGTGTCTTCAAATGTTGGAACCGGTCATCGAAAAATAGCATCATACGGTTCCGGTTTTGCCGGTTCTACCGGTTCCGGTTATATCGGTTCCGGTTCCTACCGGTTCACGGTTCCAAAAATCCACAAAAATAACGTCTCGGTCCCGGCCCGACCGGTTCCATCGGGTTCCGGTTCCGGTGCCGGTTCCGGTTCCGGCCGGTTCCCCGGTCCATATGCTCATCCCTAGAAATTTCTATAGACCCTACAACTTATGTATGTATGCTGAGTTATCTGCTAATACTTTTTTATTTTATATTAAATAAATAAAAAGCATTGCATATTGTTTTTATAGAAGAAAATGGTTTTGTTAAAAGAAAAACATGATTTTTACATAATCATAATAATCTGATTTTGATCAATTGCTCTTAATTCTATGGGTGATTATTTTTATATGGAAATGCTTTAGGATTTGAAATGGAAGATAACGGATTAGGTGGTAAAGGGGATATTATGCACATGCTTATGCAACCTTTTGTTGAAATAAATTAAAATAGACTTGCTCACTAAAATAACGATATTTTGGACTTGCGTATATTTACGTGTTCTTTTATTTATCATTTAGTGACCATCTAAATCATTAATCACTGAAGTTATTACCTTCTTCGTTAGTTCTTGATATTGTTCTCAATGAGAGTGACAACGACTAAGTACAGTGTCCTATGGATGGATCCAAACAATGAAAACGTTGAGTTTAAAAGGGGTATATATACATGAGGATTTTGCTAATCTCCTTGTTCCAAACACAGAATCACCAAAATAGTCTAAACATCAGTCGTAATTTGGTGTAATATAGAGCGTAATCTGGTGACGTGACAGTTATTATATATGTAGGTGGGAAAGAAGAATACGATAACAAAGAGCTTAACTTACCGAGACTTTGTTTGTGGGTATCATTTATATTGTTAGCATATGAAATAATGTTTATCTTCTAGTCTTGTACAAAGCACTAGATACAAGGTGCATTTGTGGCAAAATGTTTGTTGTGACTGTCTTATTTGGTGGGATGAGCACAATCCGAGAGGTCTGCTAAAGCTAAACATTTATTTGTGCGAGTTTTTAGAATTGCTTGCTCATTGGGCTATGAGGTATGTAAGTTGCAAAAAGGATGTGGTTCTCCTTCCACATCACCACAATATTCACACCATTATGGTCTTCAAGTTTGGGCATGACGTCAAAGCGGGGGAGGAGAAGAGAAAGAAAAGCATAGAGTGTGTGTATTGTGAGGCGTGGCATCAGCCATGCTTGGGCACACCAACAACCAAACACATTACCACGACGCCATTGCCGAGTAGTGTGCACCTTGTGGTCATGTGCCACATCACCACCATGTTTTTGGCATGTAATATATACCTGATAGCCTTATGATCCTAATGTGAAAAGCCAAAATGTTGAACCGTGAAGAGTCCGGATAATTAGATGGATCCACTGTTATAATTCAACAGTAAAACTTACAAAAATATTTTATGTTGGATAGTTAATTAAAAAAATTTCCTTAGAATAAACATATCGTTTGACAAATCTCTATAGATAATTGTAGAGATAGAGCATGGGTCGGTTTAGGTCGGTTTTTTGCGAAAACCAAACCAAACCGTAGAAAGTCGGTTTTTCAGTTTTTAAACCCATATAGGTTCGCTTTTTGCATGGTTCGGTTTTTCGGTTTTCTGGGTTGGGTTTATGGGTTTTCGGTTTTAAACCGTGGGTTTATGAGCTCTTGTTATTTTCTAGTTTTTGGGTTCAAACCTAGTGAAAGTACGTTGCGATAAAGAGTATTGAAATTCAATATGTTATATTATGTATTATAAATATTAAAAATATTTAAAACATAATATATATATATATATATATATATATATATATATATATATATATATATATATATATATATGGGTCGGTTCGGTTTTAATGGACGGTTTTATACGTCAAAACCGAACCAAACCGTTATTTTTCGGTTTTTTTGTAAAATTCAAACCTAAACCGTCGGTTATTGCTTTGGTTTCGGTTTTTCGGTTTCGATTATGTCAGTTTTTTCGGTATTTTGGTTTTCGGTTTGGTTTTTGTTCGTCCCTAGATAATCGTAAATTTGTAATTTTTCTGTAAACGTAAGACTTTTATATTTATTTTGAAAGGTTGACTTACCACCGTCGGATCATGCTTCTCTCCGGATCCACGTGTACAGCGTTTTCCATTGGAACACATCCCCAACAGCTGTCTCCCTTCACATGAAGGAGAATTGGAGATCACATGGAAAGTTTTGTCTTAAATTACAAAACTATCCCTCCGCCACCTTAAACCGCGTGTTGTCCACCGTGATTAGTGGCATCGCATGCAGTCTGAGAGAAGAAATCGTCGAAATTACTCTTCACGCTCCCCCGTTCCCCGATTAATAAATAAATTCATGAATCTGCTCTTCAAATTATTTCACTAGTGGTTTTTATATTAATTAATTCATTATTTTAACCAATATAAATACATATATGATTTAATAAAAAAACACTTTATTATTTTTTACGTATATAAAAACATCAGACAATAACTCATATAAAAAAGTTTGAAAGATAATAATTATAAATTGACACGACAGAAAGGGAAAAAAACAGTAGCATAAAACCCCTTCTCGTTAACGGAGATGCCATTTCTTAGCTCGTCTGCTACTTCGGAAGCTTGCTCACAGAAGCTCGGCCATGGCGATAAGAGTAAACCCGTTGAGTTTGATCCTCTGCATCTCACTCTTCATCGCATCTTCACATTCTCAGCAGCTTACCACCACTTTCTACCAGAAATCATGTCCCAGATTTGAACAGATAATGCAGGACACCACCACCAACAAGCAGATCGCCTCACCCACCACCGCCGGCGCAGCTCTACGCCTCTTCTTCCATGACTGCCTCGTCGAGGGCTGTGACGCCTCTGTTCTTATCTCCTCCACGCCTTTCAATAAGGCCGAGCGTGACGCCGACATCAACCTTTCCCTTCCGGGAGACGGCTTCGACGTCGTCGTCCGTGCTAAAACCGCCCTCGAGCTCTCCTGCCCTGGAGTTGTCTCATGTGCTGACATCCTCGCTGTCGCCACGCGCAACCTCGTGACGATGATGGGTGGGCCATTCTACAACGTGAAACTCGGCCGGAGAGACGGAGTGGTGTCTAGAGCCTCACGCGCCGAACTAATCCTCCCGAAACCAACCATGTCCATGAATCGAATCATCAAGATCTTCACATCCAGAGGGTTTTCAGTCCAGGAAATGGTGGCATTAACCGGCGCCCACACCATCGGATTCTCTCATTGCAGTGAATTCAGCTCAGACATTTACAATTACAGCAGAACAGCACAGTCCGATCCGTCTTACAATCCAAGGTACGCCGCCGGGCTAAGAAACGCCTGTGCCGATTACAAGAAAAACCCATCGTTATCGGTGTTTAACGACATAATGACCCCACGAGACTTCGATAACTCGTACTATAAAAACTTGCCCAAGGGATTGGGGGTTTTGAGATCGGATAGGGCACTCACAATGGATGCTCGAACAAGGCCGTTTGTAGAGTTGTACGCAAGAGACCAGAAGAAGTTCTTTGAGGCATTTGGTCGAGCAATTGAGAAGCTGAGTTTGTACGGTGTGAAGACTGGCCGGAGAGGACAGATCCGACGTAGGTGTGACTCCTTCAACTGAATCAGATTTCTGAGCCCATAAATTAATTCTATTAAGAGTTTTGTTTTCTATTTTTGGAGATTTGTATACTGTAAAACAATTTTCTTTCATAATTCATCAAGATGCCCTTTCTTCCTTCATTATGATTTCTTTCATGACTGTGTTGATGGAGTGTTAACTCTAATTGTAAAAAAAGTCAACGACTTGAATGTAACTCGAAGCTGACACCAATCTTAAATAAGGTTCAAGAATCTATGAACAAGGTACAAACTTTAATGCAGAACTGATAGCAGAACACTGAACACCCTATTGTGGGTCAAATGGTATCTCTAAATATTTCCATATAACTATATATTACTCCGGAACACAATTCAATGCAAATAAAAGAAAAATAAAAATAGTATCAGCGAGAAATTTCAACAACTTTGAGGAAAAGATTCCAAATAAACAAATGAAATAGAAATTTTAATTGGCATAGTCATCCTCGAAGCTCAAATTGAGTGCCTGTAACTTGAATCCAGAACTTTGTATGATCTCAACCAGATTAGAAGCCACTCCAGTAGCTTGCACTGTTGTTTTCTTCTTTAACTATAACAAACAGGAATCGGGTAAGTGTTAAGATGTTATTGTCAATTTCAAAATCAAATCAATATATACAAAAAATCAGCTCACCTCAACGCTTGCAATACCCTCAAGAACTTGGACTTTTAAGTTTGAAATGCCCTCCGTCTCCTGAACAAAAAAAAAGGGGGGATGAACATTTTGCATATAAACATCAGAGGTTGGAGACAGATGCCTCAAAGATATACACAAAATCAATTGATGGAAGGGATATATATATATTTGTTTGGCTGTAACTATAAAATACTGGGTGTAAGTTGAAGATAATGTTTACCTGTAGAGCACTTGTCACTGAAGGAATAGCTGCTTCACTCATTGTTCCCTCGGCCTCCATGTACAAAACGATCAAAGATTGTTAGCTTTTTCAAAGCAAATTAGATGATTATGATAAGATATGCAAGAAAATTTAACTAAATGCTGTTATGAATCCAAGATGAAGTTATTACAGATACTCAACTCGTCTCTATGACTCTATCCATTGTGTTCAATTGCAATTGAATTTCAGTATCTATAAAAAGATACTTTTAATCGAGAAGAAGCTAAGCATGTTTGCCATATTTTCCACTTTGAACCAAAATCAAACAGTTGGAGGGCATTCAAGACTCGGTCAGTAAACATGTGGCATATCTTACGCATTGCAGAATTTGATGCTTCTTATTGTAAATTTTAGGAACAAAAGCATGGAAATAGGAAAGTACCTGAAAGAACATGGTGAGGATATCGGAAGGAGAAACTGGAACAGAAACGGTCGCCTCGACTTCTCCTTGGTTGCTGATGGTGTCTTCTTGTTGTTCGGGAATTACTGTATCTTCAGCAACAGATCTTATCTTCTTCAAATTTGACAAATTTGTCTTGGATACCGATGAATTAGGGTAAGAATTGGGAATGCTAAAACAAACACGGGCCACCCGAAGTCGATTGGATAAAGAACATGAGAAAGTGCTAGCAGAAAATAGAAGTGGGCAACAGGGAAGTAGGGTTTTTATTGGGTTTGATAGCTGTGAAACAAGATATGGAGGGAGATGCAGAAAAAGACGCCATTTCTGATGCTTTTTCTTCTTCAAAACTGAATCAATGGAGAACCGCTGTCGGGGGAGTAGAGAAAAAGGACCTGAACTGATATCACCCTATCCAGTATCCACTTCCATGAAGAGTTATCATCAAACGAACTTGTAGACAGGGTACAACAAAAGTTCCGCACATTACAACTGGTGAGGTTTTACCCACGACCAATGTAAATTATGAATTTATATGTGTTTATTTTACATTTTACATATAAAAAATCATTCTCTTTATTTATATTTCTAAAGTAACCATATAATTTGAATTAACTAGGCCTGGAAATGGAGCGGGTTTGGAGCGGATCGGCCTTGATCCAAACCCGTTAAGCAATTTTCAAATGATGATCCAAACCCGACCCGTAATCCGCAGGGTTTTGAATGATTAAACTCATACCCTTATCCACCGGATCAACGGATTTCAACCCTTTTACCCGACTCATTTACAATATTAAGTTTAGGCTATAATTATTCATTAAAACACACATAACATGATTACTAAAACCAAACAACATCCACTCCAAAACAAACATCAATTATAGTTATATAAATAACTTTTCCAATGTATTATGATTGTGGAATGTCGATCACTCGATTGCACTTCTTCTTCTTGAATCCCTTTTTCTTCTTGCTCTTGAGTCTTGATTGTGGAATATCGATTTCATAGTTGATTTCAAAGATTATAGAGTTAATTATAGTAGGAGTCGACTGCAATCGATAATTTGGATTAGGAACTGAACTGGGAAATTGAAGTAGAACGTCTAATAGTCTAACTTCTTGACTCCTATATGTGAAGATTGATAAATGTATTATTACTTATAAATAATTAATTTATATTTAAAAAATTTAGATGGGGCGGGTCATAAACAGATCGGATTAAAATGGTTAACGGGTATGGGTCGTTAACGGGTAAACGAATCATAAAATATGATCCAAACCCATTAATTTTGCACGGGTTTGGAGCGGATCAGGGTCAAAACCCGCTCCATTGTCAGGTCTAGAATTAACCCAAATAAGAATAAGAATGATAAATAGATTATTATTTTTTGTTTGGCTTCGGTTGATTTTTATTATGTTCGATAAGCCGATAAAAAAACTAGTTAGTATTTTTTTTATCTATACAATTTACTTTGAAATTACAGCTACTCGTATTCATATATTTTTAACAAACTTAGCTATAGCTACTTAATTAGACATATTTTAGTGTTTTTGGTCTTGCTAAACATACCTCCTATAATTTACATATATTATTTATACAGGCTTCATATCTAATTAACTAAATTCACTATTTTATTGTCACTCACAATATATAATTAAAATTTTAGATTTTTATATGTGAGAATTAAATGACACATGTTTGTATGTAATTTGCCAAGTACATTTGTAAACGAGTAAATGTACCAAAAAGCTTCTATCTCAACATTATCCGATGTAGTTCATTTTTTTGATGTCAAAAGTTCAAGTCTCGTTAGGACATAAATGAAATTAAAAATAGTTTAAAGATAATTAGATTTGTTGTTCTAAGCAAACATAAGAAAATCAAAATCTATTATTAACAAGTTACCTAATAAGTACTACTTCAAAAACAAAAGTTACTTGATAAGTAGCTACACTAACTTTGCACCGGTTAAAACCTTCTCATAATCTTTTATAGGAAGAATTTCATATATGTCCTTAAATATCAAAATATCATATTTGTCCAACTTAATTTCTTAATATTATATTTACCTTTTTATAAACCTTCAAAATATCACATTTGTCCAAATCTTTTTTATAATGTTTTTAATAGTTTATAATCATTTTTTATATCTTAGAATTATTATAATAGTTATAAAAATTTAACCATATTATCCCTATATCTAAAATCGTGGAACGTCTACTTCTAAATTGTTTGAATGTTCCTTTTTTGACAAACAAAACAATTCATCTGATGCCTTCTTCATTGAATGTATGCATTGGTTGCTTAGTTTTTTTGTTGTTGAATATTATCATGTTGAAAGTGAAAGATATTTTAGATATTATAATTGATATTTTAATGTTTAAAAGGGCATATATGATATTTTGATATTTAAGAATAACATATATGATATTTTGATGTTAAAAAAAAACATATACGATATTTTAAATTTTATGAAAGGTAAATATGATATTTATAAATTAAGTTTGGCAAATATGATATTTTGATGTTTAATAATAGTATATATACTAAAATCTCCCTTTTTATACATGTGCAATTCTCTTATATTTAAAAAAAATGATTTTATTTAGAAAATTAACTAATTTAACCTATATAAATGAGATTTTAAAATAAAATAATCATTTTTTTAGTTTTTAAAAAATAATCACTTACTCCCGAATACCTATTCCGAACTACTGTTCATATTCCAAAGTTCTTATTTTTAATTTTTTTTTTTTTAAAAGAAAGTTATGCTCTATTCTGGGTTTTATCTTCAAACTCCGAAGTTGTTTTTTCGGTTTTTTTTTAAATATTTTCACCTACGTCGGAAATATCTATTTTGAAGTGTTTAAGATCATTAGTTTTCAATAAAATGTCTGATTTTATACACTAATGTCGTATATAATTCACATTTTACTATGTTTGTTTATTTTTTTTAGATTTAAATAAAAAAATCTCGAAAATTCTTAATTATTCATCAAATTTTGGATTTAATATTTGACAAAGTTGTATATTTTCAAATTTTGAAATTTCAATCTTGAATCTAGAATGTCAGTCTAAATAGAAAAAATATTTTTTTTTCGAAATACCCATTCCAGACCAAATGATTATTTTATTTAAAACAAAATTTTAAGGTTATTTTGTTCAAATAAACATTAATATATGGTTAGATCACTTAACTTCCCTTTTATTTACTTATTAAACCCATGAATTAAACACAAAAACCTCAGAAAAACACAACTTATTGTAGGCATTTAAAAATAAATAAAATAAAAACTTTAGGAGAACGTTTATAGAGAGATTTAATAAAGAGGGATTTAATAGGCACGTAATAAATAGTGTTTCTTCAGTAATTGTACAAACAGCTGTGCTTTTCTGACATTCAGCCTTGTTAAATCAACAGCAAAACTATATAAGTGTCATGATTAGTACAACATTCAGGTCCTACACATTCACCTCAGATTCAACAACTTATAAGTGTACACTAATGAAGCTTTAGCTTAGCTTCATAAATACATTCATCCATTCTGAAGCTAAACTACACAAAAGTTGCTCCTATTATATATAGTATCATCCCACAACAAAAACACAGCTTTCTTTCAACTATCTCCTGTCAACCTCCTCCTGAACCTCACCAGCTGTAGACAGACACCAATACAACAATTATAAACCCTCTTCTCTCTCTGTCTTAATAAAAATAAAAAATAAAATGACGTTCTTACCCTGGAGATGTACTCCCAGGTTCGCTTGAGCATCAGCTTCAGTGTTGAACTCCTTTCATTTCATATAATAATAATATAAGATAAACTTGTTAGGATTCATTTTAACAATAATATCTTCTCATCTGAAGGAATAACATACATACCCTTTCAACATGACAGATCTGGAAAGATGCAAACTTATCTTTCAGCTCCTTTGCTACTTTGCATAAGCTTGTCATGTTCTGGGTTTTCGTTTTCCACAAACCATTCACCTGTTTTCTCCCAACACTTACCACATTAATAACATAAACACCACTATAAACCTTAAAAATGTTTCAACACCAAAAACTTATGTTTATGTTTATGCACCTCCTTATTAATAAACTGTCCTATGTAAAGTAACTTTCACTCTTTATGTTAAATACTTCAATGTTTAAGAATATGTGATTTTCCTTAAAATGTGAAGTCATTATCTTGGTAGGAAGCAGATATTATAGAGTCGATATTTAGAAAAAAAAAAAAAAAGTAGAATCTGAGGTTTCTATTTCAAATACGAACACAATAAAGAGTTACATAAAGGCCTCCATAAAGTGTCATGTGGAGGAAAGTTTCTTCCTAAAGCATGCAATTATTTGCAAATTTAACAAGTATTTATTTTTAGCCGGTTTAAGTGTAACAATATACAATATTCTTAGCTTAGAAGCAACATCTTTAATCATTAGCCACAAAAGTAACATCATGTTTCGTTTACTATTTGATTTTTGAAGTTTTTAGTATAGCATATATTACAATTCTATCCATTTCTAATCTATCATATAGATAATCATATCAATTTGCAGTGATGTAACTTTTACTGGAAACACAAAAATGGAAAAAAGTATACCTGCATACAAACAAGTTTGGAGTCTCCTTGCACACGGATATGCCTAAATCCTCTCTCAAGGGCATATCTCAGTCCTAAAATAACTGCACGATACTCAGCAGCATTGTTTGTTGCAACACCTAGACCTTCTCGCAAACGATAAACCTAATAAAAAGTTCATAGTCAAAAAGCCGAATATTTAAAAATATAATATTATTATATTATTATATTATTATGAGTGTGTGATGTTTTACCAGACTTCCATCTATTGCACGCAGCACGGCTCCAGCGCCCGCTGGTCCAGGGTTTCCTTTTGCTGCACCATCAAACTCAAGAATACAAGAACACTGACCATGGAGTAGAAATTATTAAATAGTGTCAGCTAACCATGGAAAAAAAAAAAAAAAAAAAAAAAACAGTTTTTAATTGAATTATTTGTTTTTTCTGGTTTTTTGGAGTTCATTGAAACAAGATTATTATTGTAAAGATTAAGTGATATAAAACCTCACACAATAAGCAGAAACAGGTAGAGTCTCCATAAAGCTTTCGATTTCAGGTAGCTTTCTCTGAGGAGCTTCTGAAAAAGAAGTTGATCCGACTTTTTTCTGTAGAAAGATACATGATAAAATAAGTTATAATGATGAAAAAAAATGCAAAACGTTACAATTTTGACTAAAGCATTACCTTTATCTTATTCTCAGATGAATTCCTTGTACCAGCTTTGTCTTTAATAGAATATGGTTGCTAAAACAAAATCAAAATCATAAGATGTCTTAAATCTGAAAATTATTACTGTTCAAAGAACTATGCTTCTAAGAGATTAATCTGGAAAAATATATACTTTAAGCCATGGTGTTAGCCCTGAAAGTTTGTCCTTAAGGTTCGGTTTAGTTGAAGTATCTTTAACATAAACACTTTAGGTAAATGAGGAAATGATAAAATTGTATCCAGCGAATTCAAAAAAATCAAGTAGTCTAACTCTAACCTGAAAAGGACATGGAATAAGTTGGCCAAAAAGATCATTTTGCACATCAGAGGCACCAACAGAATATATTGCATTGTTAAGCCCATGTGATCCCAGGTAATCCTCAGCAGCCTTAGGCAATCGATAACCTTTGAACACAGCAACATTGGGACCATATAGCTAAAGAACAGTAAGCAACAAGTACAATAAGTGGCATGTATAGTTTATGAACTGCAAATGTAATAAATGGTGCAAGTATCATATCAACTATATGCATTACGTTACAATAATTACATTAGTTAGCTTAAGTGGCATACTTGGTCATTAAATTGCAGATCACCCTAGTTAGCAATTTAATTGGAAGAAACCTTGTTATAGAAACTAGAAATCAACAAAAGGAAAACAAGATTTTAATGGCGTACCAAAACTTTCCATTATATTAATAACTAATGAACTAAGTTCAGTAATTGGTTTGACAGTTTATTGTCCACTAAATAGCAAAAGTATGGTTCATGTTCTTAATCATTGGATGTAGAAACAAAAGGAAGCTACTTTTTAATCAAAGTTGTTGGTTAGCACTGCCAAGCAAAATGTTAACATAAACCTCTATGTAATTTTATATATGGAAGGTGTATATTACTCCCTCATGTCATTAAAATAGAGTTGCAAAATTAACCCTGTGATTGAACATCCTACCAACTTCGAGATCATTATGAAATATAAGGTTTTTGAGAAAAAGTTGATAACTAGGGGGAAACATACAGTACTACTGTAAATATAACAATGCTATTTGCCCAAAGAAAACTACAACCGGGTAGAGCAATGTTCGTTTTTTAAATTTGAAGGGAAAGTCCGTGCTTTTTCTATTTTGTGTAACCTAAAAGTACTAGATTTGACATCTGAATTATTGATTTTTTAACAAATGGATTGAAAAGTATGGAATCAACTAAAAACAGATGGACTATATAGAAATGGCATAAAGTCTACTAAATCAGAAGAAGACTGGTGATACCAGAGGTTGAAAATCACTAAAACTCTTGTAAACACCAACAATGTCCCCCTTCCTGACAACGTAAAACGCATCCTTCTCGTCCTCCATTAATGACTCCTAAGAATTAACAGTTTGCCCTAGCTTGCACCAAATATACAATTCCGCCTGAAATCATGTCCAAACTTGAATTAAACATTATTTCCAGTTGACCACACATGCAACATCAAGAAATTTACATTTTAAAACTGTTAAGAGGAATCCAAAACACCAAGCAGTAACCTAATCATCTTTTTTGTCATCGGACATACGGATTACTCCAAATATAAACAAGAAACAGATTAGCAAACGATAATTAGAATTTTGTAAATCGTATTGAAGAATATACAGAAGATCGGATAACCTTACTTTACCTTTTACATCAAATGAATGAAATTGAAAATAGTAAATTAGGGTTTTGTGGTTGTTTGGCGGGAAGGTAATGAAAAATGATAGGGCATTCGCGTTCTTTTCGACTTTTCGAGTTTGTTCGCTTTCTATTTGATCGGTCCGGCGCTTATTTTATACGTAGCGGCCCACAAGCCCAGCATATATTAATTACTTCATTTTCTATTTTTCATATATATATATATATATATATATATATATATATATATATATAGAGGGATAGAAAATTTATATTACAGCCCCACCTAAGGTTGGATATTAAACCTTTAAAATGTGTTGTTTTAACTTAATAAATATATCTCATTTGGTTTTCACATGGTAAATATATCATCCCCGATAATATTTATTTTATACATTATCGTTTTATCATCCATGTTTTCTTACTTACATTATCGTTTATTACTTCACCCCAATGAACATTACTATTTTCCACCGTCATGAAGGTCAACGATAATTAATATTCTTGCTTCCCTATCACAATTATCGTATCAATCTTGAATTTGCACCTTCAAGTGTTAATCGTGAATCCACTAATCATAATCTTTAGATAATAAAACGAAATATTTTCATGAGGTTTAGGGCGTGTTTGGCAAAAGTAGCTGTTAGCTGGAAACAGGTAGCTGATAGCGTGTAACGGGTAGCTGGTAGCGGGAAGTTGTAACTTTTATTTGTTATATGAATGTTTGGCAAAAGTAGCTGGAAGCTTTTGAAAAATATAAAATTACATAAAAAGACAATTGATTAAAAATATATAAATATATTTTTAAGGGTAATTATGGAAATTGATTTCAAAAGCTCAGTAGCGTTTTGTTAAACGCTACATGAAGTAGCTTTTAGAATTTGAGCATTTTGTTTAAACTAAAAGTTAAACGTTCGTACTGTCAAACGAAGTTTTTTGTTTAAACTAGAGCGTTTTGTCAAAAGCTAAAAGCTAGAAGCTCACAAACGCTTCCAAAAGCTCCGTGCCAAACACACTCTTAGTATCTAAGCTTAGGTGGGGCTGTAATGTATATTTACTTTTCCTATATATATATATATATATATATATATATATATATATATATATATATATATATATATATATATATATATACTAGAAAAGTGTGAGGGTCGTGCTTGGAGACCCACGAAGGTAATTTGGGTATTTCCTTCTATTGTCTGATTCTCGAACAAACATAAGTACATTGTTGTTATCTGTAAGGAATTCAAAGTTTGTTGTTTTCAGTAGTAAACAACTGAGTATGTGGATACTATTGACAAGGAAATGAAAATGCATTGCTTTTTATGGGTAAGGAAGTGAAATAACATTGTTATTATGGGTAAAAACTAAAGTAAATTGCTAATATTGGTAAAAGGCGTAAAACTTATTGCTATCTCCTGTAATTCCAAAATTGCCCTTGTTGCTTGGTCAAGACATTGACTTCCCATATTCCCTAAATAATTGATATTTTCATAAATAAGCATGTATATCAGGTATCAACTTTAAACTGTTGAAGTCTCGATGAAAGTATAAGTGTGTTATTATTATGGTTATAAAGTTTTAAGTGTGCTGCTATTAAGGGTCCTTTCTAAAAGCACATTGTTAATTTTGGTAAAAATTGTAAATTCCATTGCCTAATGGCGTAGTTTACCCTTCATCTTTAAACAACATCACACCTTTCCCCATACACATACACATCAACATGCACAATGTGCATGGATTATGTGGTTGTGTGTTTGTTTCACCCCCACTTTGATAGTTTTACAATAAAAATATACATATGAGTAAGTACATTGCTATTTTAGAAATAAATTTTGTCTTTGAAAATTTTAACAGTAACACACACATCCCACTCATTCACACACACAACAGCACACATAGCCACATATACAACACACACAATGTGTATGTAGTTATGTGTGTGTTTCACCCCCTCTCAGATGGTTTTGACATGAAAGAATACCCTTTCCTATGATAATTTAATTTTTTTATTCATATTTAAAGGAAGTTACAAAAAGTTGGTATTTTTATTTTTATTTATGGTAAATTACAAAAAAAAATCACTATATTTACTGAGTTTCTATATAAGCAGAAGTAAAACTTGAACTTTTACCTGTACGAAATGACATTCATTCAAACACTTGTATCCCACATACCCAAGATGCAATAAAATAAGTTTTGTGGTTAGACCATGGTTCAATTAACAAAAAAATAACCTTATGCTCTATTTCTACTACTATTACATGGTTTCATTTTGGTATTTGTCAGCTTTATCTTCTAATGATGGCAAAAGATGGTATATATCTTTTTTATGTGTGGACGTTATAAATTCATATTATATGATAACATGGATCTCATATTTAGATAAACATATGGATATACATCTTCAAAAGTAGAAAAAATAGTAGAAAAACATGGGGTTAAACTTTTTGATGCACATGATTTTGATATGTTCCACTAATTTTTCAATCACCACAAAAAAAGCAACTTTAAGCAAATGCTTGGTAAACAAAAGTTTCAACAAGTGATAGAAGCACAAAATTATAAGCCCTAAATACGGTCATATATCATACATTCAGTTCTAGACTAACGTTACATATATTCCAAATCAACATATACATATCAAGTTCGTGAAGCTTATAAACAATTCAATTAGCATAGTTCCATCAGAATCTAACGTATAGTCATGCATGAAAAATAAGAATGACAAAGTTATAAAAAAAATCTAAGAAAACATAATGAATTTATTCTTTTTGGTATCATCGAGGACTTGATTTGAAAATTGCATAATGAAAAAAATGAAAAAAAATTACCTATAGAAGTTGTATCTGTTGTTGAAAACAAGATTAAGTTCACCTGAAAAGGAAATATTTTTCCTACAAAAAACAAAATTTTATCAATTGCTAAAATACCTAGAAATGTAGCAAGGCTACGGTTTTTAAAATAGATTGTGCTTACCACGACCCACGTGTGTTTCCTAAGTATATTGTAAAAATATGGCAAAACGGTTGCATTAAAGTATCGTACAAAAAGAAGAGAATAGCAACATAACTGACTGTTTAGCTGAATATGCAAAAAAAGTGATGGATGACAATGTACAATGAAGTCAATTTGTTCGAGATTTTATTTTGTTATACAAAGTATGCAGTGTCTTTTTTCAAAATTGGATCAAACATGCAACAAATTAACATATTTTTTTAAGTAAATTGTATATAATTCATGATGTCTTACATAAAAAGAAAGTCTTCCAATCATTTACAATTATTGACAAAAACAAATGTATTGTTGGAGAAAAAATATATATTAATTTTGTCCACATTTAAAATTTGTCTGCTAGCTTTCATACCCTTAAAGTTTTAATATGTTCATCTCCATTTTTATGTTTATACCTTTACAAGCAATTTTGTACATGTCAGTTCACAAAAAATATATATTTTGAAATGTATAAATAACATGAATCAACTGACAGAAAACAAAAAACTTGAAACATAAATATGTTTCGCCGAGCTTTTGCACAAAAGCGGGATTGTATTTTTGTCCCCACACCTCAAATATAATGCATCCGTGTTTTAATCTCCTGATGCCCAAAAAAATACGAGGCTAAATGCCAAAATAGCAATGTACTTCAAATTATTTGTGTATCACAACACTCTACCCTTATATTCTTTCTATTTACAGAACTGTATTTTCATCGGTTTTGTTATTAAGACAATGTACTTTGTGAATTCTTCCCAATTATAACACTATAATTTCATTCTTTTATTAGGACATATAAGAATCAGAACTATCATAACCTTCATAAACTTTGCCCATCTTTGTGACCTAAAAACATACACAAACCCATAATATCAATTGATGATAACAAACAAGACAATTAAATAAATTGGGTTGGATCAGTAGAGTTAGTAGAGTTAGTAGACTTTAATTAGTGGATGACGGAGTGCATCATGAACATTATATATGTAAAATTCAAATACCATCTGCATAAGTGAATTTATTAACCCGATTTGTACACACAAATCGAAGTGATGCACATAAGGAAAAGAAAACCCAATCAAAATATGTGAAACAATTTGAAACTTCATTTCCATGATAATATACTCTTCAAATATATGCAAAATATAAAAATACCTAGAACTGTTTTAAAAATCAAATTCATAATTATATCAAGTTTGCTGTATCAAAAATGATTTTCCAGATAAACTCCATAGTTGATAGCTTTCCAGCTCCATCCGTGCATGATTATACCCATTGAGTTTACATTAAAAACTTTTTCATACAGATCCATTAGTGGCAAAAGCTGCAGGTATGAATCATAATCTGTGGGTTGAGAATGCTCATGATTTGGTTGCTGGTTTTCTTGAAATGTTTGAAGATGTTTGCCATAAAATGAAGAGAGCATTCGAAATTTATATAAAAATATTTCACCTTTTTCTCTAATAATAACATATTCATTATGGTGTGTCTCAGGGGACAACCGTTAGAGATAGGATTCAACAACACTTGATGACGAAGGGAAATCAGGGAATTGTTTATATTCTTATCAACTAAGATTTCATTAAGAATAAAAAATCTAAAAAGTTCATAAAATTAAAATATATAAACCATGGTTTTCTTTTGTTGAGGTTGACCAGTCAAAGTCAAACCATATATTTAGGGACAAATTCATTCATGTTTTGCGGGTTGTCAAAGTTGCTAAATGGATTAAACCAATTGCTTTATACTTGTAAACATTAGTCAAAGAAAATCAATTTTGTTATTCATCGTTCTTATTTTTGAATTACACATAGTTAATACATCCAATAGCATACCCATGGTGAATGAATCACTTATACATATGTCAAACACAGAGCATGCGACAAATATTACCAAATTTATACACACCTTAGGTTCCTCAAATGTTGGTTTTGGCAACCCTCACAGTCCCTTCTCTATTCTTAATAGCATGACTGCAAAAACTACAAACATAAGACCATCAAATTTTCTGAAACTAATAACTCATTTTTCTTATGTATTAAAAAACCCATCAATATTATAGAAGTTTGTCAAATTTTTCTAAGGAAAAAAAAATCACAAACAAAGTAAAAGGATCACAGATA